CCCCCCCCCCCTTGTGCTGGCATTTTGCCACTTCCTTTTTATATTCCTGGGTGAAAAAAGGCACTGTGAGTGTAAAATATCTTGCCCAAGTCATTAACCCTTTAACTCCCAAGATCTGATTGTGAATTCTCCCCTCTGGCTGCTACACATTTCTGTAAATTAGTTATGAGAATTTGTTGTTAGATCTAGATAACAACTTCTACCCATTCCAATAAGTTTGAGTATTCTCATTACCTGTTTGCTAGGTAATGTAAGGATATTATGGGGAGAAGTTAAATGTTCATCACCTCTGGGAGTTAAAGGGTTAACAAGCGTTATCCAAAACATTAGGTATAGGGGTTCGTATGGGAGGGATAAGTGAACGTGATTTGAGATTGCTTTGAAAGTAAAGAATATGGAAATTCTTTATGGTTGAATCGAATCAAGGAAGTCTGGTTGAAATACCAGGATGGAAAGACCAGACCAAAGAGATTGAATATAAACTCAAAAGGATTTATATTAATTGTCCAGGAAGCAGAAACAACATACCTTGAGGAATGTAGCTTCTCATCCAATCCTTTTTTCCTGTAGCAGCTGGATTCCTTGCTTCATCAAGAGGCCGAACTGGATAATACTCTTTGTGAGTTGTCTGGAATGACTTGAGCTGTCTGTCAGAGTCCATTTTGAAATTGGTTTTGGTCAACGTAGATGTAGAGTTGGCATAGTTTTGTTTCTCTGGATTTTTTCCAACGAAGTGTCCTCGCGTCATGGAACACTTATCATTGTAGCGGTCATCTTTGTGCATGATTGTTGCAGGAGATGGTGAAGGTATGCGCTCCCGCTTAGTCAAAGGGAGAGGAGGGTAGTCCTTTTTAAATGTGCTCTTGTATACAAGTGGGTCCTTGCTAGGAGCCCAGCGATCTTCATGACTGATTGTAAAATGAGAAGCAACTAGGAATTCTGTACCTGTCTTCTGAGCAGGTATCTTGTTTATCAAATCTGTCATGTTCCTGAGATTGTAAAATGACAGATTTCACCTGCGGGTATAAATTAAATAAGTAAAACACTTAACCACACCAAAAGTAATTTATCGAGTTATTGACCTCGAGAAACCGATTTAAAGAACGTTATTGCTCGCTGCATACTTTTTACAAAGTAATTGGACTGGTTAGACAA